TAGTGGTTGCCAGGATTTCAGGAGGGAGTGGGGATAGGAAGGAAGTGGGAGTAACTATAAAAAAGCAACACAAGAGGTTGATGGAAATGCTCTTTATCTTGACTGTATCCATGTCAGTATCCTGGTTGTGATACGGTACTACAGTTTCTTAAGATGTTACCACTGGGGAAACTGGGTAGAGGGTATGTGGGATCTGTATTATTTCTTAACAACTGCAAGTGAATCTACAATTATTTCAAAATAAAAAGTTTAAAGAAATATATTTTTACTTCCCACTCCCCAAACAGTAAGGCCTTCTGAATGATCTGCCTGCTTCTACTTGAACTCCTAATGTTCGCTCTCCACACAGCAGCCAGAGTCGCCCTGTAAACACTTCAGTTCAATGATGTTACTCCTTCGGCTTAAAACCCTCTGGGCGCTCTCCTCTTCTCTCAAAAGTGAAATTCAAAGTCTCTGTAATAGCCTACAAGATCCTACATGATCTGGAACCTCAATCTCATCTCCTACTAAACTCCCAAACTACTCTGTCCCTGCTGCCTACTTAACAGATAGCAATAAATGTTTACTGAATATGCTCTTGACCCGATTCTCACCACAAACCCTACACCACTTCCCAAGTAGCATCTTTGCACCTATCACACCCTCTGAAAAGCCTTTTCCATAGTTTTCAGCCAGGCAAAACCCCACTCATTCTTCTAAGGGTATCTCCAATGTCACCCCATTTGTTGTTATAACTCCAATACCTAGTACCAAGTAGGAGCAAAATTAATCAGTATTGTTCAAGGTGTAAAAACTTGGACCTCCTGGGCCTCCACTCCTTCAAATCAGAGAATTTGATCTAGTCAGAAATGAAGAGTATTCAGAACAAAGTGACTTTGACTTTATGGATTTAATTGTTGAGCTTCTACAACCATATGTATTACTTTAGACTTCTAAATGTTCCATTTTTACCCTTTTCTATTTGATATTTCCACTCTAGTTAAAACAACATTTTAAAAATAACATTCTACATTTAATTCTCTTCTACTGGTCCCTTTAAAAAACTGTCTTAAAATCGACTACATCGATATTTCTTAAACAAGAATGCAGAGGACCCTAGAATTCATTCACACTGGATTGGGAAACATGGCCTCAAAAATTAAACGCACTAAACATTAAATTTAGGTGATCATTTGGGAGCAATTTAATGACAAACATAGAAAGTAGGCACTTTTGAAATGACATGGCAAGACTTAATCATAAGGTGATCATCCAGTGATCCAAAATAATGCTTATATTATTTTTTATTCTGTCAAAATAAAAATTTAAAATCCTTACAGATTTCCAAGAATACACCCAAGTACTGAAATTTTAAGAAACTTAATATGGAACAAGTTTAAATAAATCTAATGTAGTAACTTTCTAACTTTCTATGCTTACTTGAAGTTTGGAGCTCAACACATCCTATCTAGACTGTTATTTTTTTATTAATAGAGTAATTACTTTGGGGCGCCTGGGTGGCTCAGTCTGTTAGGCGTCTGCCTTCGGCTCAGGTCATGATACTGGGGGTCCTGGGATGAGCCCCGTATCGGGCTCCCTGCTCAGCAGGGAGTCTACTTCTCCCTTTCCCTCTGCTCCTCCCCCTGCTCGTGCTCTCTCAAAATAAATTTAAAGATAAAAAAAAAATAAAAAAATAAAAGAGTAATTACTTTGAAATCACTCTACCATAAGGTATGCTTAAAAAAACACTTAAAGTTTTACAAATGCCATGCTGTACTGCAATGTAGCTGCTTCCCTCTTAAGAGCATACGTATTACATTTAAATTATTTTTAGAAGAGAATAATAAGAATTTTAAATTGACAGAAAGACTTAATAAAAAAAAAAAGATTGGGACACCTGGGTAGCTCAGTCGGTTGAGCATCTGCCTTTGGCTCGGGTCATGATCCCAGGGTTCTGGGATCAAGTCCCGCATTGGGCTCCCTGCTCAGTGGGGAGTCTGCTTCTCCCTCTGCCTGCCACTCCCCCTACTTGTGCTCTCTCTCTCTCTCTCTGACAAATAAATAAATAAATAAATAAATAAATAAATAAAAAGAATTTAAGGCATAGAAGCTGCAGCTTACTGCTCCAAAATCAGGCTCCCTGAGTCAC